AGAGCGGCAGCGGCGGCGGCAGCGGCTGCGACGGCGGCGACGACTGCGACAGCGGAGGCGGAGACACCGGGGAAGGGAGACGCGGCAAGGACGGGCCGAGGGGACCACCAGAGTCAGCAGACTCCTCAACGGGGTCAACCGACGGGAGGGGAGTGACATGCGAGACACCAGACGGGGCAGGGCGAGGCGGGAGGGGAGCAGGGGCTATTGGGGGAGAGGGAGCAAGGAACAAGGGGGGGGGAACCGGGAGACCTCGGTGAGGGAAGCGACGGTAGAAGGAGACAACCTCGTCAAAGGTGACGTTACGAGAGTGAAGGAAGCGGTGAGACGGCGGGTGGTAGAAGAGCCAGTCAGACGAGTCCAGGGGGAACCCGAGGAAGACACAGGGGACAGTGCGGGCGGTGAGCTTGTCCGTGCCAGAGGCACGAACGTGAGCAAGGCAACCCCAGACGTGGAACGCAGATGCGTTATCGGGGGACCCGGTCCAAAGGAGGGTCGGCGAAACCTGCGGTCGCTGGGAGCGTGGCCACAAGTTAAGCTGATGAGCAGCGTAGCGAACAGCAAACGGCCACAGAAAATGGGGGGCATCGAGATGAATCATGGAGGTACGAGCAACCTCCATGACCAAGCCGATGCGGCGCTCAGTAACCCCATTCTGCTGTGGCGAGTCCGGCAAGGTGTACGACTGGGTGATGCCCTCTGCACGACAGAACTGGCCAAGTCGACCAGAGGCGAACTCGCCGCCACGGTCAGAGTGGAGACACAACACGGGGAGACCGCGGTGAAGACGCGTAGCTACGACCCACGGGAGAAAAACGTCGGGCACGTCGGCCTTTTGCTCCAGGGGAAACACCGTGGTGTAGCGCGTGTAGTCGTCGACGAGCACAAGAAGGTAGCGCTCACCGCGCGGTGGGGGGACAGGGGCTGGGCCCCAAACGTCCAGGTGCAGGGTCTGAAGGGGAGCAGTAGCAAGGCAAAGCGAGGAGGAGTGAGGGGCATGGCGGAGCCGGCCCTAGACGCAAAGGCGTGCACGGTGGAGCAGTCGAGGGGGGGAAGGGCGGGGAGCGACGCGGGGAGGCCTAAGACAAGACCGTGCTGGAACATGTGACGCAGACGCGGGAGAGCAAGGTGACCTAAGCGGTGGTGCCACAGAAGGGACGGGTGAGTGAGGGACCGACACAAGCAAGCTGCAACGACTTGGGGGGACGCACCAACCGGGAGGGAAGCATTGTCGAGGGTAAACAGACCGGACACCGGGTCCCGGGGGAACGTTGCAAGGGGGGAACCTGAGACAACCTCGGTACAGACAGCGAACCGCTCATGCCCAGGGAACGTAGTGGTGACGCCGAGGTCCTGAAGACAGCCGACACCAACCAGGTTCCTGGAGAACGAGGGAACGTGGAGGCCTGTAAGGGAGCCCGAGGGAACGGCTGGACAGGGAAGGGAAGTAGAGCTGCGAGCGACGACAGGACCTGCAGAGGGGTCAGCAAGAGCGACAACAGCAGGCGCGGCAAGCGGCGTGAGCGTGGAGCGGTCGCGGAAGAAACAGGCAGAAGCACCGGAGTCGAGAGTGAAGGACAGCGAGGCAGTAGCAGAGGCCGGGAACGGGGACGGTGCAGGAGGCTAGTCAATCTAGGCAGTCCTACGCCTGACGCAGCAGGGGAGGCTAAGCTACACAAGGGTGCTACACCTAAACTAGAGTACACAGGGTAATAAGATCCAGCAACACTAGAAGCGTCAGCATACAAGGCATGCAAAGCAACACCTATCGGATCCATATCTAACTGAAAGATCGTCACGCCCTGGCGAAGCAGGCTGTGTCAGTCGGGGAGGTCCGGGCCCGGGCCAAAGCGACGACGAAAGAGATCGTCGAGGCGGCGGAAACAGCGGGCGGTCGGGTGCGGGCGGCGGAACAGAGTGCCGCGGAGAGGCCCGGTCTGAAGCTGGTACTCGCAGGTCACACCAACGAAGCTGCCGGTAGACGCCAAGCTGCGCGGGCCGCCACCACGGCCACCACCTACGGAGGTGCCGGGCCAACCTGGCGGGAGACGAGGCCACGGCGGGGGCTGAGACAGCTGCTGCAACGACTGCGACTGCTGCGATGGCTGCTGCGGCTGCTCCTGCTACTGGGGGGACGGCTGCTACTCTTGACTAGCTGCGGCAGTCCCCTCAGTAGAACCACTGTCCCCGGCACCACCACCACCACCAGCTCCACCACCACGCCCTCCCTGGCGGCCACGGCCAGCGCGGCACGGGTGCTGCTACGGGTGGACCGCAGCTGCAGTCTCGGTCAGAGGGGTCGCAGTGGCGACCGCAGCCGAAACGTCAGTAAACGTGCACTGGGAGGGGGCACAGCTGTGAAAGATAGAGACTGCCGCGCACCGCTCGACTGAGCGATAGTGCGCTGGCGAGTCTCGATCTCGGTCAGGGCGGTGACAAAGGCTGTCAGGGTGAGATCACCAGGGTGCTGGCTAAGGATGTGGTCGCGTGCACTAGCAAGGCGGTCAGGCAGGCGCATAGCGATAAAGTAGAGGGTCATGCAGAAAGGGGGGGGGAGCGCAATGAGCTGGGCAGCAGTGCTGGCAGTGCGGTAGCGAGACTCTAGGTCTCGCAGGTGAGTGGCAAGGTCAGCAACAGTAGGGAAGGAAGCAAGGTCTGGAAAAAGCATAGGGAAGAGCAGGCGGCCGGCAGTAGCGGAGGCAGGCGTGGAATAGCGAACAACAACAGCATCTAAGTAAGCCTTAGCTGTATCAACTGTAGCGAAATGCAAAACGCTCAGACACAGGGGGGCGTGACTGATAGCGACCTGAGCAACTGCATCGCGAGAGTCCCAGACGGCAAAGGAAAGTGCAGCAGCAGAAAAAGTCTCACGCTAAGCAGGGAGGGGAGCAGGCTCAAGGGGGCGGGGGAGCAAGCCATCAGCATGGACAACCAAGGAGTGCCCATCCTGGCGCTGACACGTGAGTTGACGGCGGAGGCCGGACAGCCAGGCGGCGAAGTCAACCGCGTGGCCCTCAGCGTACAGGCGGAGTACGAAGTCAGCCATCGTGCAGGGTCAGCGACACAGGGACACAGCGGCACAGGGACACAGCAGCACAGCTCCAGGAGGATGTCTGCAAGACGCTCCAGCGCGAGTAAGCAGAAGTCACGTGGCCGGAGAGTCGAGGAACCGTGCCGAGCAGAAGACACGGGGCCGCAGGAGCCGGGCGTGCACTGGAAGCTGGGGGCCGCAGGAGCCGGGCAGGCGTGTCGGGGCCGGGCTGGCGCTAGGAGGGGCCGGGCAGGCGCTATGAGGTGGGGGCGGGCTGGCGCTAGGAGGGGCCGGGCAGGCGCTATGAGGGGGGGGCGGGCTGGCGCTAGGAGGGGCCAGGCAGTGCTAGGAGGGGCCGGGCGGGCGCTAGGACAAGCCGGGCGAGCGGACGGGCGCTAGGAGGGACCGGCCGGGCGGGTGCTAGGAGGGGCCGGGCGGGCGCTAGGACGGGCCGGGCGGGCGTTAGGACGGGCCGGGCGGGCGCAAGAGCCGGCAGGGCGGGTGCTAGGAGGGGCCGGGCAGCGCTAGGACGGGCCGGGCGGGCGCTAGGAGGGGCCGGGCAGGCGCTAGGAGAGGTTGGGCGGGCGCTAGGAGGGGCCGGGAGGGTGCTGTGGGACGAGCGGGCGCAACTGGCCGGGCGGGCGCTAGGAGGGGCCGGGCGGGCGCTAGGAGGGGCCGAGCGGGCGCTAGGAGGGGCCGGGCGGGCACTAAGGGCCAGGGTGGCGCGGAGGGGCCAGGCGGGCGCGACGGGGCCAGGCGGGTGCGATGGGGCCAGGAGGGTGCTACGGGCCGGGCGGGCGCTAGGGGCCAGGGTGGCGCGGAGGGGCCAGGCGGGCGCGACGGGGCCAGGCAGGTGCGACGGGCCAGGCGGGTGCTACGGGCCGGGCGGGCGCTAGGGGCCAGGGTGCTGCAGAGGGGCCAGGCGGGCGCGACGGGGCCAGGCGGGCGCTTAAGGGCCGGGCGGGTGCTAGGGACCAGGGTGGTGCGGAGGGGCCAGGTGGGCGCGTAAGGGCCGAGCGGGCGCGACGGGCCGGGCGGGCGCTACGGGTCGGGCTGGCGCTACGGGCCGGACGGGCGCGCGCGAGGTCTAGGTAGAGGGGGGGGGGGGGGGATAGGCTAGGGCGCGGGCGGAAGCGGGCGGGTGGACCTAACCTACTTGTGATACCATGTTAGAATGCAAGAATAATTGACTAGTGTGAGAAACCTAGAACATATACCTGTTGGGGTTGTACTCACTAGAAGCACACACCTAGGCTAGCCTATAACTTCTACATACAGCATATGTATAAGTTGACACCATGTTGGGCTGAGAAAAGCCCTAGGATCTTTTCAGAGACTAAGTCCCACTTGTATGAAATGCTTGAGTAGTGCAGCGGAAGTGTTGAGTAGTTGAACCCTTGCACTAGTATGTGAGAACAAGTGATTGATTAAAGGAAACAAGCATACATCAATATATCGAAAATAAGAAATGAAGCAGTTGTAGAATACAATTGAAGAAACAGTTATCGAGTCGCACAGCGACTCGATTGTCTGTTCGGTTACCATCCTTGCAGTCGCAACGGTCAATCGCAACCTCTGGTTGAGACCCTTCGAGTCCCTTCGCTCTTTCGTATTCTTTCGTCCAACCTCCGCGTGTAACCTCCGTTGCCTCGCGTACCCGATACGACTTTCCTCGAGTGTAGTGTTACACTTCAGAAACGCTTTAGTCTTCGAGGTATTTCCAACAACGTTGAAGCACATGTTGCGATTGCCCCCACTAGTTACTGCAGTTGCCTCAATGCCGTGAGGGGGAATTCCTATGAAGTAGGATCAGAATCAATAATGTTTCTGATCCTGCCGTTGTACTACATGCGGAGCGGATCAGGATCAATTATGTTTCTATGGTTCGATGGTGCCTTGCCTTGGGCTCCAATAAGGGCACCCAAGCAAAATCTGATTCTCAGCTGATGTGTGCTGTGTGCTGTGTATACGTGTGAAACGGCTTGCATAGGCTCCATACATGTGTGCTGTGCTGTCCCCATTGGACTGGGGGAGCAACTAGCATAATAAATACAAGACACTGTTGTGTGTGCATGTCACCCATGGTCTATTCTATCTCCAGCACGGAGTGACTTCTGAGTCGGCTCAAAAGTCACCTCGGTCTATTCTATCTCCAGTACGGAGTCCTGTATGTGTGACGCGCTGAACGACATGCCGCCCGCCAGGTTGTTGGTTGACCCGATGGACCGCGCGAGCAGCGAGCGTGCAGCCGTGCCGCCATGCACGCTGCTGACCACGTTGAAGTCGCTCACCACCGCGCCCGCTGCATCCGTGCTCACCCCCCCCTTGAGTGACACGTCCTGCTCGCACACACACAGTGGGGCACGCACAGTGGGGCACACACAGGACAGTTCAGAAAGGGGGGATGGAGAGCAGAGGTGGGGGGGGGAGAGGGGGAGAGGTGCTGATGCAGGGATGAGAGGGATACTCAAGGAATGAGGTAGGCAGGCAGAAGGGTTGAGGGGGAAGAGGGGCAAGAGGGGCAAGAGGGGGAAGAGGGGCAAGAGGGGCAAGAGGGGGAAGAGGGGGAAGAGGGGAAGAGGGGGAAGAGGGGGAAGAGGGGGAAGAGGGGGAAGAGGGGGAAGAGGGGGAAGAGGGGGAAGAGGGGGAAGAGGGGGAAGAGGGGGAAGAGGGGGAAGAGGGGGAAGAGGGGGAAGAGGGGGAAGAGGCGGAAGAGGGGGGAGAGGCGGAAGTGGGGGGAGAGGCGGAAGAAGGGGGAGGAAGAGGGGGGAGGGAAGCAAGGGCATTGACCTTGGTCCACTGGGGCTGGTTCTTGCTGGCCTCCCGCCGGATGGCGTCGTGGTCAAAGAAGAAGACGACCACCGTGATGTCATCGTGGTACGCGCGCCGCTGCCCCGATGCCATGCGCAGCAGCTCCCCGTACGGCACCTCCGTGCGCTCCGCAGCGCGCCGCAACGCCGCGCGGATCAGCTGGCGAGCCACGTCCTTGCGAGGGCTGACGGCCACCATGTCGACAACCTCCTGGTTGCTCAGCAGCTCGAACAGCCCGTCCGACGCCACCACCACAAATGCGTCATGCGGCGCCAGCAGGCGCACCGCCACGTGCGGCTCCACGGACAGCAGCGGAGGGTTGAACGGCTCGGCCACGCGGAAGCGGGAGAAGAGCGGCTCGCGATTGAAGTCGTGCGACTTGAGGTACAGGTCGCCGAAGGCGCGCGTGACCGTGATCTTGCCCTTGACGCGGTAGCGTCCGCGCTTCTCGGTGACGGCGTCGGGCATGTCGGCGTGGTCCTCGCGGTAGCGGTCGCGGATGGCCTGGAAGCTCAGGTTGTGGTCCTCCGACATCTGCACCGCGCGGCACTCCAACCCGTCGCCCGTGTGCCGCACCTGGGAGGCAGGGGGGGGGAGGTAGGGAGGGGGGCAGGGGGAGGGAGGGAGGGAGGGAGGGAGGGAGGGAGGGAGGGAGGGAGGGAGGGAGGCAGGGATCAGTGGTGAAGTGAAGGTTAAATGGTCAGGGTAACACAAGTACCAGTCATGCATTCCCTGGCAGGGCGCAGCAGTCTCACCTGCCCCAGCACGGCCCTGCAGTCTCACCTGCCCCAGCACGGCCCTGCAGTCTCACCTGCCCCAGCACGGCCCTGCAGTCTCACCTGCCCCAGCACGGCCCTGCAGTCTCACCTGCCCCAGCACGGCCCTGCAGTCTCACCTGCCCCAGCACGGCCCTGCAGTCTCACCTGCCCCAGCACGGCCCTGCAGTCTCACCTGCCCCAGCACGGCCCTGCAGTCTCACCTGCCCCAGCACGGCCCTGCAGTCTCACCTGCCCCAGCACGGCCCTGCAGTCTCACCTGCCCCATCATGGCCCTGCAGTCTCACCTGCCCCAGAACGGCCCTGCAGTCGCCCACGTTGGCGACCCAGAGGGCGCTGCGAGTGATGATGGCGACAGCGGAGCACGCCCCCACGGTGGCGAGGTGCGGCGAGTCGAGGAAGCTGTCGCGCACGCGCGCCGTGAACTGCCGCTCCGTCTCTGAGAACCCCCGCCGGATCGCCTCCACCGACACCGCGCCCGCGCCCCGCAGGAACTCCTCTGTTTGAAAAAGAGGGGGGGAGTGGTTGGGAGGGAAGAGTGGTTGGAGACAGGAAAGTTTGAGCAGTGAAGTTTGCACGTTACTCGACCAACACAAGGCCAGTGTGGATTTGCACTGACTCTTGAGGTTGTTGAATGTCTCACTCTTAAGGTTGTTATAGAGAGTGTGGATGTGCACTGACTCTTGAGGTTGTTGTAGAGCGTGTGGCGGAGGAACTCAGCGGTCTCGCTGCCCCCGTGCCCGTCGTGCACGCCCAGGTACACCCCCCCCGACCCGGCCTCCACCTCCACCGCGTCCTCCATCACATAGTTCGCCTCGTACATGGCCAGCGACAGCTGCCCCAACCCCGTGCTGTCCAGCGCGCGGTGCCACACGTCGCGCCGCTTGCGCACGCTCATGCCATCCGCATCCGCTGAGCTGCGCCCGTCGCGCGAGCAAAGGCGTGCGGAGGCGCGCAGCCAGCGCGAGGGGCTGAAGACGCCGCGCGGCACGCCCGAGAGGGTGGAGAGCCCCAGCTGCTGCCAGCGCCGCGAGGCAAAGCGGCGGCCCGCGCCGTGCTGGTCGCCGTCCACGTCCTCGGCGTCGTCGCCCCCGTGGAACACCACATCCAACCCCACCTAAGGGGGGGGGGAGGAGGGGGGGGTTGGGTAGAGAGAGAAGGTGAAGAGAGAGGGTTGTAGAAGAAGGAGGGGGGAGAGGGAGGGAGGCATGTTTCCCAGTGAGGGATGTGGCAGAAGAGCGGCAATGGAAATGGGCCACATGAGAAAAAGCAGAGACGGTCAAGACCCTCCCTGTTTTCTACAAGTCAACTGCTGCTGTCCCAAGTTTACCAACTGTAAAACAGTTGGTTGGGACTCAAAATACTGATTGGCTGGCGAGCTGTAGGCACCAGTGAAATGGCCTGCGAGTGTTGCAATTCACGCACCCTCACGACACAAAACCTGGTTTTCCCAACCAACTGCGTAACACTTGCCCCAGGTTCTAGAAACTTGGGTCCCGGGCTTTAACTCGCACCATCCGTCCTCCGTGGAGGTGGTGGCAGGCAGGCACCCCCCTGCAGTGACTGACCTCCTCCTGGTGGCGCTTGACTCTGAGCATGTGGAAGAAGTGCGATAGGAGTCTAGTTTTGAGACAAGACTGCAGTGACTAGACTAGACTAGACTAGACTAGACTCCTATCACCCCCTGCAGCGCAGTGACTGACCTCCTCCTGGTGGCGCTTGACGCGCAGCACGTCGAAGAAGTGCAGCCCGTAGAAGAGGAAGAGCGCGATGGCGCCCACCCACACGTACACGATCAGCAGCGCCAGGATCTGACGCACACGCGCACGCGCACGTGAGAGGCGCGACAGAGGGAGAAGGAACGCACGAGAGGAAAGGAGAGGGGGAAGGAGGAGGGGTGAGACGCAAGGCGACGACGATGTGGGGCGAGCTGCGACGCACAGCCAGTGAGCGGCAGGCGGCAGTATGTGCGTGGCAGAATGGGCCGACTTGCACTAGGGGCAGAATGGGCCGACTTGCACTAGGGGCGGAATGGGCCGACTTGCACTAGGGGCGGAATGGGCCGACTTGCACTAGGGGTGGAATGGGCCGATTTGCACTAGGGGCGGAATGGGACGACTTGCACTAGGGGCGGAATGGGCCGACTTGCACTAGGGGCGGAATGGGCTGACTGACCGACCGACCTGCACGAGCAGCTGCCAGGCGGAGCAGCCATAGAAAACCCCACAGGAGAGGGGCTGCGCGATGTTGTAGGTGCGGCTGATGTTGGTGGGGCTCGCAAAGAAGCCCACCGCCACGCCGCCCCACGACCCACACACCAGGTGCACCGGGGTGGCCTGAGCCGCGCATAAGGGGCGGTAGGGCGTTGGGGCAGTGGGAGATGAGGGGCGAGAGATGGTGGGCGTGGCAGCAAACGAGGTGAGGTGCACCTGGATGGCCTACGAACGTATCTGCATAGGGTCATACCTGCACGGGGTCATATCTGCACGGGGTCATACCTGCACAGGTCGTACCTGCACGGGTCGTACCTGCACGGGGTCATCAATATGGCATCGGAGCATGACCCACGTGCCCAGCAGATAGAGCGCCCCCGCTACCATGCCTGCTCACACGGACGAGCAGCGCGCGGTTGAGGCACGAATGGCGCAGATGAGGCCCGCCCAGGGGGATGACGGAGATGCGGCAGGCAGAGTTGAGCGCAGGGAGAGAGACGCATGGCAGCAGGGGAGACGCAGGAGGAAAGGAGGGAAGAAGAGAGAGGGGATGAGAGGAGAAGGGAGAGGCAGGGGAGGAGGGGAGGGTCGGTGTGGTGGCAGCACGGACCGACAATGCAGGCGGCCCAGGGCTCGACAAGCGAGCTGGTGGCGCAGGCGGCGACGAGGCCCCCGATGACCCCGTTGAACGTGTCCTCAGGCACGGGCTCGCGCCGCCGGTACGTCAGCGTCCACACCGTCACGCCTGCGGCCGCCGCAGAGATGGTGGTGTTGACGCACACGCGCGCCACCTCCGCGCTCCAGTCCAGGGGAGACTCGCCCAGGTAGTCGACGCTGCAGCCATTGAAGCCGTAGAAGCCCGTCCACAGGATGATGGTGCCCGCCGCCACGAATACCTTGGGGGGGGGGGAAGGGAAGGGCGAGGGAGAGTGCGAGGGGACGAACAAGTGGGAGAGAAAGGAGGGGTGCGGAGGGAGGCTCGTCGCAGCATGGCGTGGGGGCTCACGGGGGAGAGGCAGGGCGGCTCACCATGGAGTGGCCCTTGAAGGGCACCACTTTGCCGTCGATGTCGAAGCGGCCTATCCGGGGCCCCACCATCCACGCGCCCACCAGCGACGTGACGCCGCCCGTGACGTGCACCACCATGGAGCCCGCGTTGTCCAGCACGCCGTTGGTGTTGAGAATCACCGCGCCCCGCGCTGGCGACAGCAGCCCGTTGCTGCTCCACAGCACGTGCGCTATCACCGGGTAGATCAGCGCCGCCAGCACGAAACTGGTTGGAGTGGGGGGAGGGGAAGGAGCGGGGAGGGAGGGGAGGGAGGGGGGGAGAGGGGAGGAAGGGGTTGATGAGATGGGTGGCTGAGGGGAGCGGGTGGCAGGGTGCTAGGGGAAGTGGGAGCACGGCATGGGTGGTTGAGTTGAGGGGTGAGTGGGCGAGTGTGAGAGCGAGTGTGAGGGCGTACTTGAAGAGAAGATAGGCGGCGAGGTGCGTGCGCTCGGCCACAGCCCCGGCGAAGATGGTGGCGGAGGTGGCGCAGAAGGCGAAGGCGTAGAAGAACTGCACGTAGTTCTGCCCGCCCGCGAACGCCACCTGCCACGTCCAGCGGCGCGCAGGGGGAGGCCCGCAGGGAAGCAGGGAGAAGCAAACCGAGCTGGCAAGAGATGGCATGATGCGGCTGCGGAGGTATGGGACAGATGTATGGGGCAGTGAGGGTTATGGGGTAGTGGTATGCGACACGCGGGAGGGAGTGGGAGCAGAGAGGGGAGGGAGTGAGGGAGCACGGCAGGAGCCCGGCGCTGCCGCCACTACACCTGCGACTTGTGCCAAACCGCACTCCACAACCCTCTTCCTCCCACTGCTTTTGAGGCGCCTCAAAAGCCGACGTGTGCCACACTGCACTCCACACACCTGCACATCCCACGCGCACTCACCGACCCGTCAGCGTTGGCCCAGCCGAAGACGCGCGTGCCCTCGCCGAAGCCAATGGCGTAGCCGAAGAGCCAGAAGGCGATGGCGGAGACGCACGTGTCGAGCACGTTCTTGATCATGATGTTGCGCGTGTTCTTGAAGCGCACGTGCCCCGCTTCTAGTAGCGAGAACCCCAGCTGCACGCACCGCCGGGCAGCAAAGGGCGAGGGGAAGCAAGGGGCGAGGGGAAGCAAGGGGCGCGGAGGGGGGAAGTGAGGCGGAGAGCGGGCGCAGGGGGCACGAGAAGGGCTCAGACGACACGCGCGGGAGCGACGGCGACAGTGGTGCGCGGCGGACGGGCACGTGCATGAGGAGCACGAAGGTGGTACCTGCATGAGGAGCACGAAGGTGGTGCCGGTGATGCGCCAGATGCTTGCGATGAGGTACACGCCGTCGCTCACGTCGCTCTGCAGCGTCGCCACCGTCGCCTCCATCGCCGCCACCTCGCCCAGCAGCGCAGCCACCCGCGCCGCGCCCTCCGCGCCTATGCTCGCGCTCGTCCCATTCATCGCGCCGCCGGATCGCTTCCCCGCACCCCCGCTGATCGCCCTCACCCCCCGCTGATCGCTCACCCTCCGCTGATCGCCCTCACCCCGCGCTGGTCCACCTCACTCCCCGCACCTTCTGCTCGCTAACCTGCGACTCCCCACTCCTTCTGCTCGCTAACCTGCGACTCCCCACTCGTACTCCACTGAGTGCCGCTGTCGCCGCTGGCTGCTGCATGGGACGCCCCCGACCTTGGCTAAACTACTTGGGTGCACGCGTCTACCAGCGCACGAGCCTGGGAGACCACTGCATTGCAAGCAGCACGCTTCTCGGGCTCTCGGTCCCACGGCGTCAAGGCGTGCTCGCCACACGTGCGGCCCGCCATGGCGGCCTGGCGATCTCAGCACCACTTCCTCTGTGGGAGTAGGCGGCGCTCCTCTCGATTGCCGCTGCAGCGGCCACAGCGTGAGGAGCTAGCCGTCTGAGAGGAGCTAGCCGTCCGCGGCGCGGAAGGGCCCTCACGAAGGAGAGGAAAGCGGGCGACGTGGCAGCTAAATCAGCAGGCTATTTACGCGATGGCTACTGCGGAGGTCGCAAACAGGCTACACTGGCGGCTGGGTGAGGAGAGAGGCGTTCGACGCTTCTGATCTGGGTCGGTCAGTTGGGCTGCTGCTGGGCTCTGCTCGCCTCTGCTCTGCTCTCCTTTCCTTACCTGCGCTGCACTGCTTTGCCCTGCTAGGCGGGAGACATGGCCACGCCGCAACAAATTGCTCGGCGAAGATTGGTTGCATTCCATCGACAGCCCAGGCATGGCTGGGGGGATGGGATGCTCGTTTTGTTCCCTTTCCAGCGCGGTTTGGCTGGCTGAAGCCGTCAATGCCCCGGCGTCGGCGAGTGTGAGGCCAAAAAGACGACATAATCCGCCAATCCACGTACAGCCACGTGATGACTCGGAATTCAAAGCCAATCACGTGCCGCCTTCCAAAGGGTAATTACACGTGCTCGTCTTGTTCACTTAACCCGATTTAGTCACTATTCTCTCTGCACAGACAACCTTTCATTAAATTGAAATCAGCAGCTACAAACTTTTCGTTCAGTTTTATGCTGCATGGCAAATTCTTTTGACACGTGTACCGGAAACAAGATGCCTCAAAACAAGCATGGGGCAAATATTCATGTCTCAAAATTTGAGGGAACAACTTAATAGGTAGTAAATTTTGGTCACATGCTGATTTCGTCGCTGTTTACATCCCACAATCCCATATTCACAATTTATTATATGTATCCCTCTACCCCTAGCCCTTCTATCCATATCCCCCTTATCCATTTCACATCTACCCACATATCTCCCCAAGATTTGCGGCAGGACTGCCGCATGTGTTCAGGCCTGATGCGGCAGATCACGTAGTACACGTCAACAATCTGCTCTCTTCAAGTTTCTCCCTCAAATCAGTTCGCTACAAAATGCCTTATTACATGCCTCGCTCGTCAACCCAGTTCATAGGGAGCAGCTACACGGCTATGACGATGGCATGGGTAGAGTGTGTGCCTTCAAAAAAATCAATCTACGAGCTTAAACAAGCCCCTCGGCTCTTGCAGCAATACCTTGTTTCTCTCCTTTCTCGCATCGGCTTCCTTGATGCTGCACACAACCCAGTGTTTTCGTGCTTCGCGAGGATGGTGACTCCGTCCTCATGGTCACGTATGTTGATGACATAGACACCACGAGCAATTCAATCAAGCTGGAACTGGAGATGAAGATCAACAACAAATTACAAAAGCTACTTGGCTTGAAGGTCACTCACGCGGGCGATACAAGGATCTAACTCAGCTGCTTGAAGTGCACCACCAACCTCCAGTCCCGCTTCATTATCAACTCGCGAACTGTCGGTGCTCCCTTCCTCTCCAGCGCCAAGGAATCATCCCTCCCACTCTTGGCTGCCAACTTCTCCTGCAGAAAGTCGGCTGCCTACATTTCGCAGTAGTAACTTGCCAACTGTTAAATTATATCTTTGATATATAATTGGTAGGCTTGGTAGGTGTTACTGAAACCTATTGTAGAGAGTACAACCCCCCCTCCTTATATCCCTCTCTCTTCTAATCTCGACCTCTTTTCTCTCGTTAACTTTCTCCTAGCCTAAAACCTCTCGCCATCCATGGCTTCCTAGCATCCTTACTTCTGACATGGTATCAGAGTAGGTTGCCCTTCCCCGGCCTGCTCCCCACGCTTCCGCCGCGTGCTCGTTTATTTCCGTCGCCGTATTCGTGCCGCCGTGGCGGCCTTTCCGAGCTGCCATGGCGGCTTCGTGGTGCTGCCGTCGTAGCTCCGACGAGCCGCCGCGGCATCGACACCGCGCTGTGGCGGCGTCGCAATGATGTCGAAGCGGCGTCGTCAGGCTGCAGCCGGCCGCGCAATGCCAATGGCACCGCTAGACCTACCGCCCGCACACCAGCCACAGGCGTGAAGCTGGACCACGCCCCCCCCCCCCCCCGCCCCTCCCCCCCTTCCCCTGCGTCCCCTCCTCCTCGCCACAGCCGACGCCTGACTCGTGAGGGTCTTCCCCATCGTCGCGGAGCTTGGCCACGCCGCCGAGAGGGCGGGTGCCGCTGTCGTCGAAGCCGCTGCTGCCTCCGTTGTCGCCGCTGGCCTGTTGCCGCCGCTGTCGTCACTGCCGCCGTCGCCATCTCACGGGCCGTGGGATTGGCCATGCCAGACTAGTCGTGGCTGCTGCTGGGAATGGGGGTGCTATGTTAGGGGGTGTGGGTGTGTGTGGGTTCTTCTACTACCAAGCTTAGGGGGTGTGTTAAATTATATCTTTCATATATAATTGGTAGGCTTGGTAGGTATTACTAAAACCTACTGTAGAGGGTACAACCCCCCTCCTTGTATCCCTCTCTCTTCTAATCTCGACCTCTTTTCTCTCGTTAACTTTCTCCTAGCCTAAAACCTCTCGCCATCCATGGCTTCATATCGTCCTTAGTTCTGACACCAACCCGACATCTCCTACGTCTCAAGCATGTTGGCGCAGTACCTGAAGAAACATAAGGCAGAATGCATGTGCATGCTGGATCACGCACTACAGTTCCTGGCAAGCACAACTTTGCCATTGGCTATGTTGGTGCTGACCACGTAGGTGACAAGAGTGATCGCAAGAGTCGCACGGGATTCGTCTTCTTGCTCGACCCTCTCGGACTTATCTCATGAGGCTCTACAAAGCAAGAGCTTGTTACCCTCTCATCGCCCAAAGCTGAATTTGTCGCTTCTTGCATTGCTGTTCGCGGAGGATTATCCGTCTGAGATGAGAATCAACACCCTTGCCGACTTCGACTCACAAGTGGGCAGCCGGTGGGCGATCAAGATTGTAGAGAAACCAAACTTCGTCAAATGCACAAGCACATCTCCCTTCTCTACCAATTCATCTGGCACGAAGTTGAAAAGGGGTAACATTCACCTAAACTACTGCCCCACTGAACACGTGGCCGCATTCTTTCTCACCAAGCCTCTCACTCGAGCCGAATTCAAGGCCTTCTTCAAGGTCGTGGGAGTGAAATCGACGGGTCATTGGTGAAGAGCCTTGGGGATTATAAACGCGGAGGCGGCCCTAGCAGCTGGCCTCCCGTCTTGTGTAGCCTTGGTTCCACACATGCGCCCCCGCTGGCCGACGCTACCGCAGCGCTCTTCTACACGTTGGACTCTAGTGCGTCCGCCTGCTTCTTTCGCGACCACACCACTCTCACGCCACTTCCTACACCGGCAGCAGTCTCCTTGGCAGACCCATCCTCAGGACCGGTAGTCGCACGTACTTCCACCACACTTCCTTGTCCGACAGTCCCTCCTGGCTCTCTTATGGGTTTGCATTTGTACATCCCCTTGTTTTCAAGGAACCTGGTTGGTGTAGGCTGTCTTCAGCACCTCGGCGTCACCACCACGTTTCCTGGTCACGAATGGTACGCAGCCTATACAGATTGTGGCCCCGCACTTCGCGCACAATCACCTTAACCTGTGGCCCCGCACTTTGCGCCCGCAGGTTTTGCCGACCCTCCTCTGGACCGGGTCCTTTGGTGACGCATTTGCATTTCAAGTCTAGAGCTGCCTAGCTCACGTCCGTAACTCTTGCGCTGACAAACTCACCGCCCGCACTATCCCTTGTGTCTTCCTTGGTTTCTCCCTTAACATTTCTGACTGGCACTTTTACCACCCGCCGTCTCACCGTTTCTTCTACTCGCGTGACATCACCTTTGACGAGTCTGTCTCCTACACTCGCTTCCCCCACCAAGGTCTCCCGGTTACCCTACCTCTGTTCCTTCTCGCCACTCCCCTGGTAGCTCCCGCTCCCCTCCCTCCCCGTCCTGCCCCGTTTGGTGTGTCTTACATCACTCCCCTTCCCTGGGTTTGCCCGACCGAGGAGTCTGTTGACTCTGGGGTTCCCGGGGCTTCAGGTGCGCTGTCTGTTTTTGTGGCACCTAAACCCTTGGTCCTAGTGCCTCCGTGGCCGCAGCAGCAGTCGCCGCCGCAGCAGCAGCAGTTGCCGCAGCAGTAGGAGCCGGTGGGCTCTGGGGGTGTTGGTGCTGGGGGTGCTGGTTCTAAGGAGGGTACAAGTTATGGGGGTGCTAGTCCTGGGGGTGCTGGTCATGGAGGTGCTATCTCGGCGAGTACCGGCGGTAGCAGCGGTGGGCCAGGAGGTCTTGGTGTTGGCACGGAGCAGCAACAGCCGTAGCTGCAACTGGTGTGTGCCCTTCGCCTCCTTCGTCTTCCCCCCGCCTCCCCCGACCGACCACTTGAGCCTCCTCCTCCTCCTATCTATGGCCCCGTGTTCCCTCCGCCAGGATTCACGAGCTCTTTCCCTCCTGGGACCCACTGGTTCTTCCGGCGCTCGGTCTATGGTCTACGGCAGGCGCCCCTTGAGTGGCACGACATGCTTCGTGCTATACTAGCAGACCTCCAGTTCTTACCGTCCGCTGCTGACCCGTCTCTCTTCGTTTCCTCTAGCCAGACTCTGTTTTACATCCTAGTCTATGTAGACGACGTGATCTTTGCTACTTCTGACACAGACGCATTGGCCTCAGTGAAGGCCGAGCTATTGAGGAGATACACCTGCATTGACCTAGGAGAGTTGCGCCACTACCTTGGCCTGCAGAACTCCAGGGACAGAGCAGCGTACACCATCACTCTCTCACAGTCACACTTGGTGCACCAGGTCCTTAAGAGGTTCGGCCTTCAGCTCTCCTTCGCACAACCCATCCCTCTATCTGTCGACCACAGGCTCCCAGCTCCAGTTCCTGACAAGCCGGTCGAACCCAGTGGTCAGTACGCAGAGCTCATGGGCTGCCTCATGTACCGGATGACTTGTACGCGTCTAGATCTTGCATACCCTCTTAGTATCCTCGCATGTCTTGTTGCGATATCTAGCGACTCCATCAGTCTTGGGGCTAGTGCTGGGAGGCTTTAGACCAGTGGTTCTCACAGGACATACCGACGCTTCGTGGGCGGACGAGGCTGAGACGATCCGGTCCTCTCAGGGCTACTGCTATAGCCTTGGTGCAGGCGCCATCTTGTGGAGGTCCACACGCTCGTCGTCTGTTGCACAGTTCAGCACTGAGGCTGAGATCTACGCTGGTGCAATGGCGGCAGAGGAGCTCCGCTGACTGACGTTCTTGCTCGCTGACTTAGGTGAGCGTCCTAGCTCTGCCCCAGTCATATACGCTGACAACAAAGCCATGATCTTCCTGTGTCATGAGCCTCTACTAGAGGGCAGGACGAAGCACATCCAGCATTACTTCCTCCTGCGCAAA